TGCAGCAACTGGGTATGTTGTTAGGTAAGATCTGATTTACACAGATTTACAAGATTTACAAGATTTACACAGGTAAATCATTTAAAACTGGATTGAAATGGTTTCACACTATAATGTTACGAGAAAGCTGTTTTGCTGAGCTGTGAAGCTCGTCCGGAACTTGAAACTGGCTTGTGCTCTCTATGTATTGTGTCCCTTTCCAGCACTCCATGCAAGGAGATGGAGGCCTTAGTGTAAGGCTGTAGAGTTCAGGGGGCAGCTGGCTGGACAGAAGGAGTGTTGGCTGCGTGGTGCTCAGCTGGTATGCCCTTTTGCAGTAGCGGAGTCGCACAGCTAGAAACTGAAATCGAAGAACAGGGAGCGGGGAACACACAGTAGACACAATGTCTGCTTCAGGCAGGGTTGTAGGAGCACAGTGCCTATTTTTCTAGAGGCAGAATTACCTCAGCTGTGGTAACTGGCCTGTTCACGCTGAGCCTGCAAGTCATCCCCTGCCCAGAGATGGTTTGGTTTAATCCTGTGGGTCACAGTGGCTGGGCCCAATGAGGTGGGCTGGAGTTCTAGTTGCTTCTTTCAGTTGCGCTCTTCTCACTTTGGCATGGTATAAGCAGGCATTTAACAGGGTTTTAACATAGGTTTTTTGTACTCAGTCTCGTTGCATATTTTAAAATTCATTTCCGGGCTGTGATCTAATGGCAGTAATTACCTCAGAAGTGCATATGGTAGGGGGTGTGTTTATTTTTGTTTCAACCAGGGCAAATGATTGCAGGTCTTGGCTTCACTTCAGGGCTTGGCTGTGTTGGGAGAGCCAAAAGCAACATCTACCTTTGCAATCTGGCTAGCAGGTCCTAAATACCTTATGTGAATGTTTGATTTAATGATACAAAGGGTGGTGAGAGCAGGAGAGCAAAGCTCTCTGGGTCTTCATGTTGTAGTGGATGCCTAGAGTGCAAACTATTTACTAGCTCTAACGTGGCGTGAGCAGCCTTCCCAAATAATGCCTATCACTCTCTCCTATCAAATGTTCGTTTGCTCACTAATTCTTGTGAGTTTGTGCAGTGCTTTGGGGGCAGTTCTGCTAACACTGGCAACAGCTTGAAAGGCCTGAGTAGCAAAATACCTTTAAGATTTGTTGGCATATAGGTTTCTGTACCATAGGAATAACTCAGTCTGGTAGTACACAAAACAGAGTTTGCGTAATTCCATGCTTGGAGCTCAGGTGACGTTTTTGTCTTAGCTGTTCCCCCTAGAAGAATGTCTTGGCACCAGTAGCTGGTGAGGGGAACAGGGAGAGTGATCTACTTGATCCCTGCAGAAGACCTTATGGTGGTAAAGCATGCTCTGTCCATGTGGGGTGAAGTCAGAAGTTCAGGCTTAGGAAGGGCAGTGCTCCTTTGCTTCTTTTGCCAAAGTGGGGAGGACTCTAAATCAAGAACTGAAACGTCCTGTTGAGTCCTTAATTGTATTTGAAAAGAGCTCAGGGCAGTTTTTGATCCTCCCCTCACTTTCATTTCTTTGTGATGTATACAGAAACCCAAGTGGGTATTTTGGTTCAGCCGTTTGCTACACGTGGAAAACACTTGAAAGGTCTGTGTGGATCCTATCTCCTTCCATAGAAAGGCAACTGTGCCCTTTTTAATATCTAACAGCTTTGTCCTTTTTTGTAAGGGCAACTAATGCAATGTCCTCCTTTTGAACGTTGTTTTTCTACTTGGTGTCTGTCGGGAAGAATAAGAAGTTAGAGTAGGAAGTGGGGAACCACCCTATGAACAGGTGCCTAAATATAGAAGCCAAGTGATGATTGCCCTGCAGCTGCTGCAGGTTTCTGCCTACTTTACATATCTTTTTCATGATACTGTCTGGATTTGAGAGGACTTCAAAACCTTACAACTGCAGAAAAAAAAAAAAAAAGACTCTCGTGCTTTCAAATTTTGTCTCCTCTTGCTTTCTAGCAAGGGTAAGCATGCTGTCCTACTTTTTGCATTTTTAAACCCCTCCAGCTTCAGTAAAAGTTGATGTGAGATTATACACGGAAAAAGGAGATCAAATTCTGGCCCCTTGCATAGAAAATGGTATTTTAATATTTTTGTGTTTTCTGTCTTTCTCACTCGACTTCACAATCTAATTTCTCTGCTACCAAAGATCTTTCAGTCACATCTACATTAAAATTTTAAAAGCAATATCTATTTAAATGTAAAGCAATATGGTTGAGTGTGTGCTCACACGTGGAAATGTGTTTAGGGGGGATATATGCATAGACATAGCTCTAACTAAATGAGAGAAGATCAGAGGACACTGGTGATAAGTGAGATGGTGAATTATTCTTTCAGTAGTTGTTAATCTTTGCATGAAAGAATAAATTGTAAGGACCTACCTTAAAATATATAAAACTGTTGAAAATGATGTGAAGAGTGTGATGGTCTTTGAAGCAGAATGTGTATAGCCCTTTGCTGGGGGTCTCCTACTCCTTCTTGTTCATTGCAGATTGAAGTTACTGGGGCTGATAACGCCTGGCTTTACTTTGCCAGTTAGGGGTGTCCTAACTGTTTTTATCAAAAGTGTGAAACTAAACTTCATTGTAATAGGGATTCTGTTTTCCCTTGGAGTCAGCCTTTATAGGAATGGAAAAATGGAAACCCAGTTAATTCCTGTTGTGCTCCTTGGATGTTGGGATTTCTGTGATGATGCTCACTGCTTCTGCTGCCCTGAGCAACTGAGCACTTGCTTGGAGTTTCCAAGTAGCAGTAATTCTCTCTGCCTTCATTTCCTCCTGGCCAACTGGAGTAGTAGATCAACTTATTCCCTCAAGACTTCGTATTTCTGTCTAATTGATGGAAGGTTGTCACCATTCAGGAAAAGTTTTTCATTTATTATTGAAAACGGTGCAGACTTGCATTATTTGGAAAGAAGTTAGGTCCTGTTTTTGAGGGAATCACTCCATTTGCACCGAAGGTGCTGGCAGAGCTCATGTTGGCAGTGTCATGGTGACTGCATTCAGATTGTGGCGGCAGAACACATCTCAGAGAGATGGCACCACCTGTTGGTGCTGCGAAGTCGAAGGGCACTGGAGGCTGGACTGGTGTTTTCTTGGGAACCAGTGCAAAGAGCAGAGCTGCTAGCTGTTATATCTGTATCCATTTCAATGTTTCTGTAAATGCCCTGACTTGCAGGCCTTCCAGATTGTGGTGCTGGAGTCCGAGCTGTAATTCATTTCTAGTTGTGTTAGTTGTGCTTATATTTATTGTGGATACTTGTGAGAAGTGGTCAGAAACAAACACCTAGAGGCACCCACATAAAATTAATGCATGATAAAAATTTGAACTACAATTGTGATGTTTAAAAAAAATAAAAATGTTTACACTTTCTTGAAATCCAAAGTAATATCTTCAGAGTTGTGGTTTAGAGAGCCTGTTAATCTGTGGGCTGGCTGTAAAATCATCAGCTATGTGGTAGGCTTATGAAACTGAGGAGCAGTGGCAGACCTGACAACTTCTGAAAGAGGGAGCCTGGTGTAAGTGAGCTGGACCTTCATACCTTACATTGACACTGAGGTTCACAAAGCTTCCACATGCTTCTTCCTAATACTTGGAAGCTTGAACATATGAAATGTTAGTGCTGTCTTCTAGGAAAAAAAAAAAAAGCTGCATTTGCTTCACTGTTAACTGCAGCAGTGAGCAGCAGCAACTATATATATATATATATATATATATATATAAAAGCAAAGCAAAATGTTAGTGGATATATGAAAATGCCTCAAAAATAACTTCAGCCCCAATTTAAAAAAGAAAAAGACAAAACAGAAATGTTTGTGCAGACATAGATAGGTAGCTATTCTCTGTCATTTTGCATTCCACAACACTGTGAAATGAGGTTACTCAATGCTAGAGGAAAACATAACCGAAATGGCCAAAAAAAAAGCACTTAGAAGCACTTCTAACATAAATGTTATAGAAGTACAGCAGGACTCTGAATGGTTTTCAGGTACTAAAGACATTCAGGGGAAGGATTTTTTTTATACCTCCTTATTGTTTATATAGGTGTATCTGTACTATACCAAGAAATGCCTCGTTATTGTACACCTAGATTGTCTGATTGGCAGAAATAAAAAGCACGTCTTTTAAACTTGCTTTTCTTGAGCAAAATCATTATTAACTGAAAAGCTCATATTTTAGAGAAGGACATTACTGTGTTGCAGATAACCATTTAACTACTTGAATATGTCAGCAAAGATGTTTTAAGACACAATAGCACATAAGCGGGTCATGTTCTGTGAAGGAGCTATTTTCCCCCTTTAGCTCCACTTACCTCCATGTGAAATAGAGAGCCTCTCAGTGCTGCTTTTGATCAAACCCTGACCCTAAGGCTTACTTTATTGTAGCTTCCACCAGTAGTAATAAAGAACAAATTTAGCTGAACCCTATAATATTACTAGTGGCGTAGCAGTTTATAAGTGACTCATGTGAAGGCTCAAAAACGGCACTTAACAAGATGCAGAACTGCTTGGAGAAGTTGACTGTGAATCAGAATTTGCTCAGGCATCCTGAGAGTGTTACTGGTTGGTCTTGAAAGGAGTAGAGGGGAGGTGGCAAAGTGCTTTCCTTGGAAAGAAAATGGAACAGCACAACCAGAGGGAGGTGAGCATTGATGGAGGAGCAGTGACTTTTTGTAGACATGAATTTTTGTTCTTTTCATTGAAAGCAGTGTGTTTGGAGGAACAGGCAAGCTTTTGAAGGCTAGCATGCTCCTTCGACATGAAATTTAAGCAGCAAGCTTCAAATGAGAGCGGAATAGTTGCCTGCAACATGATGGAATTACATTGATCCATGAGATGATGTAGAGTGAGAGGGTGTGTGTGCAGAAAAGGTCAGAATCTGGGAAGAGCTCAAGGCCAGTTTGATGTGCTCGTTTCCACAACTATTGCTTCCCAACAGATTCCACAGAGATCATTAAAGTCGGTGAGTACTGAGTTATTCAAAACATTATGAACATCTGTAAACGTATTTGTCTAGAACAAAATTATGTATTTTTTCTCACATTCACCAGTAGCTAAGCCAAGCCTGTTTCAAGTGAGGAAGACTTGTAATACCAAAGATTTACTTAATTTTCATTGCTGCACATAAAACATCTGACAGTATTTGCCGTGAAAACTAAAATGCCTGTCTTTGTTTGTACAAGCCAAAGGAAAAGTGCAGCATATCCGTCTGCAAAAGAACATCAAAGCACTTTTGCAAAATCAGGCATGGTGACATATATTTGGAGAAACAGTATGAGAGCTGCTTGTCAGAGAGTGATGGGGGTCTCTGCATTTACCAGGCGTAATCCCGATTGGAGCCACATCTTTTCTTTCTTCTCTTTATTATCACTTCGTGGTTAACGTTTGTTGATGAGTAGGATTAGCAGCACATTTTCAATGGCATTTAGCTCTTTTAACAAGCTCTCTGCTGTCAGAGGTGGCTGGCCTGAAAAAGAAGAGAAAAGTCATTAAGCAAACAAATCTTTGGCAAGAGTTGATGCTAAACGTGCCATCGCCCTGTGTGAGTTATTCACTGTATATGAAATTTATTCCACAAGACGGTGACCTCGATGTTGATTAACCAGAAATTTCTTCTTCTGTCTTTATTAACAGCTTTTGGTGCCTCATTGGGCTCCTCTTGCTTTCTTCCTGTTGTTCCTGTTTCAGCGTTCGCTAAGGCAGATTTTCATGATGTATGATTTCAGTAGCGCTGTTCTCATGAGGCCCATCAGCCAGTTTCTGTGGGGCTGCCTGATCCACAGCCCCTCTGTGCTCAGCGCACCCACCGTGGTGCACACTTTGGCAGGCGGGTGCCCCTTCCAGACCTGCTGCGTCCCGATGGCCCCACAGATGCCTCGAATCCATGGGCCTCAGGGGAGGCTTGCATTGCTCCAGGCTGTGCAGCCCTGCACTTGCTGTTTTCCTGGGGCTGTTACAGTCAGGGTGCTTGTGGCTCTGTGCCGGCGTGGGGCACAGATGCTGTGTGCAGGCAGAACAGGAGCCCCCAGCCAGGAGGAGAGGCAGCGGAGCACATTCTGGCTGTGTTCCGCTTGCTCAGAGGGCCCCTCTGCAGCCCTAGGAGATGGATGGAGCATTGGTGGATTGCCCTGAGGTCACTCAGCTCTGAGCAGATCCCAAATATGGAAGATGGTCTAAGTCCACCTACAGCTCCGTGTAAACACAGGATCAGAGAGAGGACTGAACCTGGCTGCTGCCCGCTGCTAAGCACGGAGCTGTTTATGGAACAGGAACACTGCAAGTATTCACTTTGGGCGGCAATTTCTAGGAGAGAAAAAAAAATGAAGGGAAGAGAACTACACCAAAATACAGGCTGGGTGTGTTTTTTTTCGGATTCTTTTTAGGTGAAGTCACTCAGTGATAAATGGAATAGACTGGGGGAATTGTAAACTGAACTCTCCGTAAAGCCTGATGAGATTAGATCACATTACAGAGTGTGGCTGGCACCTTGGGCTGTGCAGAAAGCCTCTGCAACGACTGGCAAAGATTCCCTCAGCACTTGACGGTTTCATTGTTGAACTCGTGCTTTTGGCAGCCTCTGGGGTTAACTGTGGAACATGAACTTTACTGCTGCAGCTTTATGGTGTCGTACCTGCTCAGAAAGCCTTCCAGATCAGTTACTGACAGTCCACACCTTGCCCCTTGGGTTCTGTAGCAGATACGTACCACTCCGTCCATGCCTCGTGAGCAGTGCCGACTGCTCTGGCTGCTGGCAGGGCTGCCTGGCTGAAGCATCCGATGTTCCTCCTGGCATCGCCAACCCCGAGCACTCTGTGGGCAAAGTGGCTGTGGGAGCTGTGGAGTGCTGGTCAGCCTTGAGCCTTTAGCCCCAGCTCCCTGCTAACCATCCTGTAAGGAGCACTGTGGAGGCACTGGTTCCTTGTGGGCAGTACTGGGACGCTGCTGACAGCGTTATCTGTGTGATGCATCTACCTTTGAGAGGTACAAAATGTCCTGGCATGCTGACACACTGCTGGAGAGTGCTAATGCCCTTTGAAACCATTCTCATTTACAGTGTTGAAGTAAATGTTTAGCTTCTCAGCAAGAGTAGGCAGAACAGCATACCTGGCAGAGCCGGCTAACAGCCTCTTGCAGTTGCAAGTAGAAGAGAGCTCAGGAAGCCAAAAGCACAATTCTGAGATCAGATGAAAAGTGCACAAAAATACAACTGAAATGACATCTAAGACTTGGAAAATGAATATTTTCAAAACATTTTCTTTTTGTCACAGTAGGTCTGTTTACCGAATGCTTTGCTTTTGAACAGGGAATATTTTGTTCCTCCAAATGCCTAAGAGAAAAATTTTTGGACTACTTTTGACCCGGGTCTTGTTAGTTAATGTTTCAATAAATCCGTGTGTTCTCTAATTTCTTAAAGGTTTTCAGGTTACTTTACTAACAGATTTTATTCACTTTAGGCACTGGTTTCATGCATAAGCTAGTTCTGTACAGTCTGTTAGTTTTTCTTTTTTAGCTTTGGAAAGCTCTGTTAATCCAATTTCCCATGATTTTCTCTACTACTTGTAATGTCCTAGCATTCAGTCATCATGCTACTGAGACACGAATTCTTGGAAGGGGGACGAGTGTTTGTTTCACTGCAAAATGTACCACAGCACCTGCAGCTGACACCGAACTGGCCACTTATGCTGTCTCTTGTTTTCCATAGACAAGCAGGGCTGAGACATTTCTGGTGATGTTTTCCCCTGCATGCCCACAGGTCAAACTTATATACAAATGTTGTTTTACTTTGTAGTGTTTTGGGAATGACAGGTAACCTGCTGTCCCGTTAAGAAATCTCCAAAAGCCAGACTGATTCTCACTTTGCCTCAACCTGCCTCTTTGTCTTTTAAAAAATGCATTCAACTGCTTCCTTTTGTTTTACGTGTTTTCTCTAACTCTCAAGCGATCCTAGGGTGACTTAGTTTTCCTTTCTACTATAACAACTGAGAATTTGTAAACTGCAGTGTAAGCCTTGAACTGCCCCATGCATCTTACTTGGCAATTAATGCTGCATGCACTGCACTCTGACAACCCAGGCTGCAAAGTCCCAGGATATCCATGCAGAAGCAGCATGTTCAGTGGGAAGTCATTTCACATCGCACAATCCCAGAGGTGCAGAGGCTGGAGGCACCCCTGGGTCTCTCTGGTCCCAGCCCCTCCAGCAGGGCCACCCAGGACCACATCTGGGCAGTGCTTGTAAGTCTGAAGGGAGGGGGACTCGCAAGCTCCCTGGCAGCCTCTGCCAGCTCTCTGCCACCTGCACAGTCAAAACTATTCCCTGATGGTCAGAGGGAACCTCCTATGCTCCTGTATGTGCCCTTTACATCTTGCCCTGTCCCTGGGCACCACTGGAAAGGGCCTGGCTCTGTCTCCTGCACCTTCCCTTCAGGGACTTAAACACATGGTTAAGATTCCCCTGCCCCTGAGCCTCGTCTTCTCCCAGGTTGTCTTCTATGTCTGCTCTCCCACGTTTTGTCTGACATCTTATGTGCAATGTAGAGGTAGAATGTGTGGGGGAGATGTCAATCCCCCCCTTTTTAACATGTCAGTTTTTCATCACCTGCTTTCCCCAGACACTCAGAGCAGCCAGTTGTCAACAGCATGATACCACAGTTGCTGGCTGCATCTCCATCACCACCAGGGCCGAGGTTCCCTTTGGAACACTGCTGAAGAGCAGACTCAGTCCTTGCTGGGCTTCCAGTGAAGTGCACACTGGGGTGAGGAGTCTTTTGAATGCGCCACATCAACCAAATCTTGTAGCAGCAACTCCAGAGCAGAGACGGTGCTTGCAACTACCTCCAGACCTGCTTCTTGCCATGCAGAAAGGTATGGGCTGCAAAAAGGCATACACAGAGTTTAAACATTCCGATGGGCTGTGAAACAGCATGCAGCGTACCTCACAGGTAGGTTCAGATGCTTTGAAAAGTCAGCAAGAACACTTTTTGTAGACTCCTTTCTAGGGAAGGGGAATGAGGCATTGTCTATTTGTCTTGAGGAACGCATGCATAAAACACTCAGAAGAAATATGCAACCTGTTTGGTTTTACATAATCTTCACTTTTTTTTTTTTTACTATTACATTAGAGCTTAACTGTCTTGCAGTTTCTAACTTTTAAATAAACATAGCATGAAGAAAATATTAACGAAGTTGTGTAAATACAACGGGAAGCAGAAAAACCAAATGAGTGAACTATACCAAGCTGAGGCAATTCTAAAAGTCTGTGTAGCTTTCCAATAGAATGTCTTTTTCTCTTGTTTGTGGATAAATTTCTATGACTGGATATTGCTGTTGGGGAAAAAAGTGCAATATGCACGTCCAGTGTATTTGAGTTAAGGTTTTAAAGTATTTTGGATTCAGTTTTTAGACATACAGTGCTTTTGATGGAAATCCTGTGCTGGGTCTCCTTTGATGCTTGTATAAAAAACGAGGGAAGAAGCAGGGGTGAAAGATGACTGGAAAAAAAGTGCTGCTCTCAACTGAGTATTTTCATGGCAAGTGATTTTTCAAAACATACTATTGCAAACCAGCATTGACCATCATGGCTTTAGCTGTGACAGGAAAATGAATCAGGGACCTCTGCGCTCAAAGCTGCACAGTGTGCAGCTGTTTTAGTAGTGCAGGAGGTGTTTAATAAGCAGAGTCTCTGCACAGAAGAAAGGAAAAAAAAAAGAAAAAACACCACCACGTTTAATCCACACAGCTTCTAATGCGCCTTTCACTTAGCACGCTTGGGTAGAAGAAGATGTGTGCTGCAAGCTTATGTAGCAGTACTGGAGGATTCACTACCCAGTGGTTGGAGCAGGAGAGCATGACCTCAGGTTGGGTCTGCAAGTGGCCTCAGGTTTGCAGTTTGACCTCAGACAGATGGCTCTGGCTGTGACTGCAGTGTTGGACCAAGGAGAAGTGCCACGTGGGAAGAGGCCACACATACACTTTATCTCCGACCTTTGAAGGGAAGCTTGGTGTGTGGACTGTAAGAGACCTGGGACACTTTATAGCATGTCTCCTGAGCTGTGCGTGCAAAGGAGAGGTTTGATTCCTGCTATGCAGCCTTCACAGGCTTCACCCTCTTCCAGTATTATGAGGAACTTGGTGGTGGTTGGGTTTGCCAGTCATTACCGGGAGCTAAGATGAACTTACGGCAGCACCTGTATGTGCTGTTAAATTATTAGAGACAGTCTTCTAAGAGTAGAAAATATCTATAACATCTGTCTTGGAAATATGGGGGGAGAGTATTTTGCTGCGTGTTTCTGGCTCAAGCAGCAGTATGGAGATGTTTTCCTTGTTCTGAGGGAAGGGTAACGGTGGTCCAAAGTTCAGTCACAAATTGCTGCTGGCAGCAGTGGGGCTCAATACGTGCATCTCAGGCAAGAATGTGATGAGGAAAGATGTGATGATGTTCCAAGCTTTCTTTCCATGAGGTAGACAAGAGTAAGCTGTGCTACCTCTAGTTCAGGATTAGTAGTACTGTTGATACACTTGATGTTTTTAATGCCTGTTAAGTCTTGGTATAATTGGCTTCTTTTCGGTGTGTGTGAGCGAGGAGGCTCGCAGCCTGCACAGAGCATAGCCTGTGTGGCATCAGCTCCCCTGTTGATTTAGTTTCATTTTCTGTTTTTCTGGCTTGCTCAACTGCCTGTAACAGCATTAAAGTATTCTTCTGATCTTTGTTTCCATGTGTTCAGAAAATGTACTTTTTGAAAGTCTTCACGCCAAACGGACTTTCTGACTGAGAGGCAGCTTTTGGATTTGTTTCAAAAGCCATGGGTGAGTTACATACTTGATTGAGCCTTCTTTATATTAACCTCTGCTCACACAGCCTTAGTATTAGGATGGGATTAGATTAGATTAGGTTAAACCTGGGAAAACCAAATTTAAGCTCTGAGAAATTATTTGCTTTTGGTATCGATATGCTGCCTTGAAGCAGGAGGTAACAAAAGTTTGATGAGAGAATCTGCAGTCCCAAGAAGTCTGATGAGCTGTTCCCTTCTTCCACCATCTACCTTGCATTGAAAAGTCTTTAATTTGGTGGTTGGAAGTAAAGCATGTGATAAATTGGTAACTCGGTGAAAATAAGATGTCCTGTGAAAGCTGTGGGCATTCTCAACAGCTTCACTGAACTTGAGGGCTCCTGGGCAGCATTCCCTCTCTCATCCACACGGCACCAAACTGTGCTACGAATATACTTTGTGTGGTGAGTTTGGCCTTCTGCTCTCATTGAGGTTCTTTGTCAGACACCCTGTGAACCGTGGATCCATTTCTGTGCTGCTTCTCAGCAAGGTCACAGATGGGTGCTGGGAATTCATACAGAAAATCTGGCCGGGCACTGTGCTTCAGTAGAAGCACACATGAGCCTTGCCTTGGACTGCAGGTGTAGATGAACCATGTTGTTACCATCTATACTGTGCTGGGTGAGTCTAAGCTCTTTTCTGGGGACCTCCCACCGAGAGTTGTGTTCAGAGGTATGGACAGTGACAGCTTGGTGTGTACCGCGAAGCACTTGCATGGAATCACAGACCCAGGGCAACAGAGAAATGCTTTTCTATGTTTCCCTTAGGCTCCGACAAACCAAAGTACAGGAACAAGCCATAGTCTGGCACATGTCTCTTCAGGAGCAGTCTCAAAAAATTCAGGCTAATACATCCTGTGGTCTTCTAATCATTCACTGTTAAACCTTGTGTCCATGCCAAGATCTTGACTAGCAGACTAAAATAATCTCTCTACATCCATTGTGTGTCACATTGTCCACTGCCATCTGCCAAAACATGGTTGCCAAAATGGACTTCCTTTCACACAGCACAGGG